ATAGGGTAGATGCCTAATTTTTATTTTAATGTCCGTCTGGTAGATTATTTTAAATCATTAGATCACATATTTTTTATTTTCTTACAGAAACGAATACTTTCGACGATATATTGATTTGAAATGTCGCGTGACGTCATTTCTACGTACATTTTATACGTAGAAATGACGTTTTAGCCCCCACTCCTAAACTTTGATTCGTTTTATTTTAATATTGTTTTATTATACAACAAAATAAAAAATACATGTCTAATATTTTTTCATTACCTAACCTACGGACTAATTCGATTTTTAATTTTCATACCCTGTCATCATTCCAATTTTCCAAGCGGTTAACTTATGCTAGTCCCATCTAGCAAGGGACAAACTGATTGTCAAATACAGCGTACTTAACTTACGGTAACTATTTTAAACTGTCAAACACCAAGCGGTCACCGGTGACCGCAACCTATTGTTCTATAATTGTGTCTATAATGACGGTACTCGACGAGTTAAAAAACAAAACAAAAACTGGATTTTCCCAGAATTTCCGACCACCTAATTAGAATATACAACCACTCTTTCACATCCCCTAATGGACCAACTTTAACAAACTTAAAATCATTAACGCGATGACGAAACGCTCTCATTTCCCAGCAAAAATCTGTTTCAGGCCAAGTTTTAGGAGTTGCCAATAAAAAAAAGTATAATGTTCTACCTTTTTTTCGAACGTAACATGCCTTTAACACATTCGGTTGGGCCGGCGAAATGATTGATGACGAACTCAAAATTGCTTTGGGCTGTCTGCGCCCAGCGGCCGAAATTTTGGATCTCTCTTTACTTCACTTATGACGCAAGTTATAAGTGGTATGATATCTGTAATATCACGTCAGACATGTCTTTAAACGAAACTATGATAAGAACAGTACTAACAGAAGGGGGGAAATAGGAAACCATTTAATGAAAATTAAACAATATTTTCGCATAACAGATAGGTCGCGGAGAACCTAATGTGTTACCGGGGCTCCGGCTCGACGTGCAGGAGAAGGAACAGGCTGGTTTTTAGTCTGTAAGAGTCTGACACTCCCTGCCGTCTCCCCCAGGCGGGAGCAGTCATTCGATGATTTTCCCCCCTTAAAAAAAAGGAGTGGCAACACGCGCTAAACATCAAGTGCCTATCATCTTCATCCGTTTACGTCCATTCCAGAAGATGTGTACCCCAACGGTCATCGATATTGTTTCTCTTTTTTAGTTTGCATCGACATTACATAACATAGCCAACGTTTGTTCTTTATCAGATCACCTCGGTTCAGATGTTTGATCCCATGTCTAACTTGGTAGTAGCAATGGCTAACATGACTGCCACTTGTGACTATGTTCTTTATCTCACGTACTTTTTATTTGTGAAACGTTAATTTTCAGCACAATCAGATTTGTGAGTCGACCGTGACATTTATATAATCTTATCTTTTTAATTTCACTTCAATGAGGATACAAATTCCAATCGCATAGCAATTGGGTTTATGTAAATTAATTTAAAGGAAAAGATAAAGGATTTATTAATAATACAATAAGAACTGCATTATATTCAACACAGGTGTACAATATATGGCACAGATAAGAAATTGAAGATAATTTTGATAGAAGTGAAGTTCAAATTTTTATATAAAAAAAGAGAATTTGTCATTGATTGAGCGGCGGTCTATTTAAATGTTAAGGAACTGATGTTTACTCTAGATTTGGCAAAGAATAATTGATTTTGAAAATTGCGTTGACAGGAGGAGATATCTTTCAGAACCGTGTCCAGATGTGCTGTGCCTAGACGCTAGTGAGGCCGTAGGGAAGAACCAGGCTGCACGCACATCTTCATTGCAGACGATGGTGGTCTCTGATGAGGCCGAGGATGCTGGTTGGCTGCGATGCTGGAAGGATGACGGTGCTGATCTGCTCCGTGAAGTGAAGGTAGCTTCCAATCACGTCGGGGTCACCACTTTAGGGAACAGAGTGGAAAGTTCCCTGTAATCGGAAAAGGAGGATCCTCCGACCAGGCGAGGTGATCGTGCCTGGCGGGCTTTCTGCCCAACAGTTTTTCGTTGGGATTTTCTATCCATGTTAATTCGCTTGAAAACTTTACATGTGTGATGTAGGATTTTGTGACGTCATCCATTGACATGTAACATGTGTCGCCACAGTACCTCAGTACCTATCCTCTCCATCTCGTCGCGGAGAACCTAACGGGTAACCGGGGCTCCGGCTCGACGTGCAGGAGAAGGAACGGGGTGGTTTTTAGTCAGTGTCAAGAGTCTGACACTCCATCCCGCCTCACCCAGGCGGGAGCAGCAATAAGATGATTTTCCCCCCTTAAAAAAAAATCCTCTCCATCTCTCGTGCCTTACACCACTTCAGCATTCATGTCCGTCGCGCCAGCTCCAATTTGCATGCAATCAACCAATAGTAGGACATTGTACCTGTACGATTAGATTATTAAACGCTTTCTCTTTTACCGGTGGAATTCTAATGGCCAGTCTCAATAACAGAGCCGGTAGATTTGGCTGCAGGAATTTTGATACCTTTTGTGTGACTGCTACGTTGCCAAGGGGCTTCGATTACTGGGTTGAGCAAAGTATTGCTGCGTTTTTTTTTTTATATTCTCCATAATAGCATGGAGTCTGGGACTGTGCCCGGTATATGGCGATAATCTCACCCCCTATTACATGGGACTCATAACAAAAATAGTAATAAGTGAGTGTTACATTGTACAGTGGTATTTATTTAATTGTCGTAATGTGCACTTCTGCTTACCCCTTCGCGGATAAAAGGCGTGATGTTATGTGTTATGTACAGTGGCATTAGGTGCCATGATGTGCACCTATGCTTACCCCTTCAAGGATAAAAGGCGTGATGATAGATAGTGTGGAGCTAATACAATTAGTAACAAAATCAGCAGCCATTGCAAGTGTACCTACCTCTCTACTTGCCCCAACGAGTATTAATAAGCCAGAATGTTAAAGAACACGTACGAAACAATCTGAAATACAAACTTCCCACGTTTAATTCAAGAAAGTCTGTAACAAAGTTGTTATTTTCTTATTTCTATGCAAATATTCTTAAAGTCAGATCGGTCACTTGAAAATTACTTTTTTTGGACAACTTTACTGACACCAAAAGTTTTTCTTTATGCATAAACGAATTTGACAATGATTTTAATTTAAAATATAGGCTCACTCATAACATAAATATGTAAAGTGGGCGTTACATTGCACAGTGGCATTAAGTGTCGTAATGTGCACCTCCGCCTACCCCTTTGAGGATAAAAAGGCGTGATAATATTACGTTTGATTTAAAGTATTAGTTTTTTACTATTTTCGTATATGTATACGTAATTGTGTAGTTCATAAAGATAATTGAAAAGCAACATCGTACAAAAAACATATTTATTAAACCTCATCATTATTTACAAATCACAAAATAATTTGAACTTATTATAACATAAATAAGAAATAAAATGTAGGGAAAGAATTACCTACCTCATAATATGTATAATTATAATACATAAACCAAATAATTGAAAGTATTTTCTTCGATGAATTGAATCAAGCGATGATTTTTTAACTCAATTCAACTTTGAACCCACGTCGTGTTACAACCTACAGATAGAGACTAGCCGTTAATACAAATATTTCTTGTTTTATGGGATAAGCGATAAAACAGCAGACGGATCACCTGATTGTAAGCAATCGGCGTCGCCCATGGACACCAAAAACACCAGAGGCCTTACAAGTGCGTTACCGGCTCGGATTCAGAGATTGGGTAGATTAGATGGGGAGGGGGTGTAATTGGACTCACGACGAAACAACGCAATCGTTGTTTCACTTCGGTCTTTTACAGGCCGCGGTATCACTACACTCGAGCCGGCCCATTCGTGCCGAAGCATGGCACTCCCACACTTTCGCTAGTACATTAAATTTTATCAAATAGGTACTAAATAGAGTATTAATTTTTTCAATGATAAGTATTTATTATGATTAATCACAAAGCTAATTGATGACCATTAGTATATTCCAACTGTCGTATCAGAGGAATCGGGAATATTGATGAAAGAATGTGAAGGGTCTCGTTCCAAGAGGTATGCTCTTGTCTGGATGAGGACCACGTTGGCTATGAAACAGAAACATGCACCTAGTACCAACCTGAAAAGAAAAAAACAGATTTTTTAAGCTATTGTGAGGTTTTTTATGTAATCAATTAAAGTTAATAAATCTTCTTTTGAATATGATTTTTTTATCAGTTTATTATCTCGATGAGCAATATTTATTTATGTTCGTTAGAATGTTCAAATTTTAAAATTAGATAATCAATTCAATTCACTCTTTTATAGAAAAAAAAATTACCATTTTATTACACTTGGTTATTATCACGATTATTTCTATATATTAAAATTTGTGCTACGTTAGAATATTCGAATTTTAAAATTTATAATTTCAACTTAATCTTTTATATAGAAAAAAATCTAAACTCATTATTACACTCGGTTATACGATATAACCAAGTGTAATAAAAGTTTTTTAAGGTATAACTTATTCCTCTAAGGATTTCACGACAAGAAAACCCACCTTTTTTACTGGTGGTACCTATTTTAAATATCTCTGAATTACTTCTGCCCATATTAGAACTGGAAGAATGAGAACTGACAGTTTGATTCATAAAACTAAAAACGACCTCACAATACACTTAAAAAATTTGTTTCTTTTTTCGACGTCTCTGGGGAATAAACTGGTAATCGTATTTTTTTTACTGGAAAAATGAACTTTATTTTAATTTATTTATTTTAAATAACAAACAAATAATTTTAGTATGATATTGATAACAAACTTACAACCAATATAACAGTAAAACGTCTATAGTAGTACATATTATACATATAACAACTTATATTCTCTTTTTTTTAAATAAAGAAAAGTCTTGCCCCACACTAGTATTTTCTCCTGTGTCTTGAGTGCGTTTACAAACATACAAGTTCACATACACATGACACCCAGACCCGAAACAACAATTTTTGGATCACACAAAGTGTCGTTTCGTGCGGGAATCGAACTCGAGCCACGCTGCACGGCTGCTGGTTGTGCAGCCACCGGACTAGCCGTGCATCATATTATTGGATATATACTAGTTATATAATTGGTTACTATGAAATAAATTAGAATTAGAAGCAGAGAAGAAATTCTCCGACGAGTTAAATAGAACAAAGTTGTACTTATTTTTTACTCGTTTCAACGCGCAACACAAATACAAGCGTGCTTCCACAAAGACACCAACTATCATCAATATAAATATTTCATCAATACATTTATTCAATCAATATAGTCTTAATTCATTCTAGTACAAGAATATGGTTCCATCAGAATGGTTTTGAATATCAATAACTGGCGGAGGAGGGTCTCGTTCCAAGAGGTACGCTCTTGTCTGCATGAGGACTACGTTAGCTATAAAACAAAGACAGCCACCTAGCAACAACCTGAAAAAACAAAAATACAACAGAATTTTAATTTACCTTTTAAACTAAACTTTGCCCCACAATTAACAGTTAAATCACCTATTTAATTAGTATCCTAGTTACCCAAAACAGTAGCCTCACTAACAATAAACTATTGTTAACTCTACTAAAGTTGTGGGTATGACATTTCGGATTTAGATACGGATACAGTTGTATGAATAATCATTATTCCTGTATTTCATTTAGTAATTTTACTTAATTAATTGTTTTTTTTTAAGACATTGCCCCATACTAGGATTTTCTTGTATCGTCACATACAGATGAACACTGAGACTCGGAACAATAATCTCTGGATCACACAAGAAATTGTTCCGTGCGGAATTCGATCCCTAGCGTGCAGCGAGTAAGTAATTTAAGAGTATTCTTAGGTAGTTCTTAGTCCTTATGAGTCGAACTGTCCCTTTTCGCTTTCCAGTTTACACGTAGGCAGAAGCCAAATATTTCACGCCACAAAAAACCTGACTTTTCTTATCGTGAACCCTTAGTAATAATATAACCAAGTGTAATAAAGATTTGTAATTTTAACTCAATAATAAAAAATATTGGTAAATATGAGTAATTTGAGTTACATTTAGTAATTTCAAAATTTTAAAGTTCTAACGAAACATAAATATATAGAGATCTTTTTATAATCACTATCGTAAGACATAAAGAATTAACTAAAAATAACAGTTGACTCGGGTTACGGTTTACGGTGGGCTTGTTTGTCCGCGAGTCTAAGGGGCCAATAGATTACCAGTGCAAGGCCCTGTCTTGCACATGCTGAACTGGTCCCATTTCACCATAAACTTGGGACATGAACATGCATCCTTTAGTATCTATAAACAAACACTATAATCTGTACATATCACCTGTTTTTAGTGTGTGAAATAAAGTTCTTTCTTTCTTTTATATTATAACGATATTATACGATATTATAAACCGTTATTTTTAGTTAATTATGTAAAGGTCATCGAGTTAAACGAATTGTCATATTCTTTCAAAAATCAGAATAACTTAAAAGTGACTTAAAAGCATTTGATGTAGTAAAAATGATTACCAATAAGAAAATCCAAGTCCTGCTCCTGGTGTGAATAATCCTAAAGCGATATATGATATAGCCAGGTGCTCATTCAGTCCTGACGTTAGCCAATATATGCCGAACATTAACATCACTGTTATTCCCACTAAGGCCGCCGCTACGTTGGTCCAAAGACATCCTGGAAGAGAAGTACGATTTATTAAGCAAGAAGACGATTCATAAAGTTTATTATTGGCATACAAAGGTCATTTTAAACACAAGAACATCGCTGGACTTAGTTCTGGGACTTTTTAAAGTCAGATTCCGAGTCTAATAATTCATATTGTAGGCTGTTTTTTTTTGCCGTCTCCTCCTTTTGCGAAGCAGTCATGCTAGCCAAAGAGGAGGCGGAGCGCGTAAGGGAACAAACCTCCTCACGCCCCAGCCGTCACGGGAGACACTCCGGGCGTCGGGGATCAAGGGACGATCACCGGCCACCGTAGGTGCGAGTCTACGGACGGTGAGAAAGGGTAGCATGCCACCCAGCCAGAACCAGACCCGTGCGTACGGCACGTCGCGTTCCGCGCACACCTCAAAGAACCATCAGACCAACATAGATGGGGCCCAGTAGGGCTGATGCCCGATACGGAGCCGCGGAAGGCCTAACGGGTTGCCGGGGCTCCGGCTCGAAGAGCAGGAGTAGGAACGGGGTGGTTTTTAGTTAGTAAAAGTCTGACACTCCCTCTCGTTAACCCAAGGCGGCAGAAGTCATTGGATGATTTTCCTTCCTTAAAAAAAATAAAAAAGGCTGTTTTTTGCTGGGTGTTTTTTGTTCCTGGTGAGCGTTGCGCAAATGTAAGAAGAGGTTTTTTGGTCCAATCACTGTGACTGCCAAACATTGAACGTCCAGTGATACTAGCTAATTCCGTGTTGGACGAAGAACTAGCGGCATTTGGTAAGCTAATATACGGTAAGCCATTATACATTTCCAAGTCACCTGATTGGTAGCGATCTATATCCAGCAGCATGCAACTGTTACATGCAGTTCCATGCAATTCCTGTCCACCTACTTTACCATTGTTAGGGTGCGACCACTACTGGCGAATGTTCGCAAGCCGCCCGCGAGCTCTGTGCGGTCACGCCAATTGTTTGGTGATCAACTCATACAAGATTCGTATAAATAATAATTTTAACCGCTCGCGAGCGGCGCATTCGCGGAGCATTCGCCAGATGTGGACTCATCCTTAATCTTAAAACTTTACCAGGTTCACTATACACTTACCAGGTAATCCAAACACTGGTTCTGTGGGATTTTTAGTAGCGTTCAAGATTGCCAGACCAGCCGCTGCCACACCCAATACCAGGTCAATGACGAGCAATGTTATCAGGATCACGTAGAACGCAAATGAGATGACCGGTGTGGTATCCACTGTGGACGTAAATAGACATCATGTTAGTTTTTGTGTAAGTTAGAAGTCTCAAATAACGAAGGTCAATGGAACTACTCGAGACCTGGGTTCGGTTTACAGCGACGACGCATCATTTGGCATGCAATCTACAAATGACGATAGGTAGCCTACGGTTGCCGTTTCGTGGCCAGTTTTCATTGTTTCTAAGCAAGATGTACTCATTTGTCATTTGTAGGCCGCCTATTGTCATTAGGCTTTAGACAAAATACTGTTATACTTTTACTTAATCAAACTCTGAGTGATTGTGAGCGCAACTGCAAGTCAGCATTAACTCGTCGAGTACCGTCATTATAGACACAATTATAGAACAATAGGTTGCGGTCACCGGTGACCGCTTGGTGTTTGACAGTTTAAAATAAAGCTGAAATCGTTCAGTAATTTCTAAGTACTCAGCTGTAGCCAAATGCCATTTAGCGCTTGTCTACATGTAGAATAGAAAACTAAATTATATGGAATTGACGTAAATTTTGACACTTGCCAGTATCATCCCCATACATTTAGTTTTCTACTCTCTCTGTAGACAAGCGCTAAAGTGGCGTTTGGCTAAAGGCACTGAGAAGAAGGATGTAAATTAATTAGAAATCACAGCATATTTAAATGAAAAAAAACTTAAAAAACCATTAGTGTACCAAGTAGTCTATTGAATAAAGAGCCATATTCACAACTCGCAATACAAAATGATCCTTTTTGTGGGATACACAAGACTTAAATTGCAAGACCTTTGGTACTTACATGGGTTGCTGGTGTCGACTTCAGTGGTTCCACCGCAGGCGGCTGTGGGCCGATAGCCATTGGCCAGAGCTCGTACCTGGAACCATGTGACGTTTTGTTAGAGATACAATCAATCATTTAAGTGTCGGGAGCGTCATGTTTTGGCTCCAGTGGGCTAGCTCGACCGGAGTAATATCACGGCGTCACAAAACATAACATACCATCACGCCTTTTTTCCCCGAAGGCCGAAGGGGTAGGCAGAGGTGCACATTATGCTACTGTACAATATTATGTAACACCCACTTTTCACTATTTATGTTATGAGTCCCATGCAATAGAGGGTGAGCCTATTGCCATATACCGGGCACAATTCCAGACTCCGTACTACTACTGAGAATTTTTTTAAACCTAGTAATACTTTGTCCGATCCGGGCATCGAACCCGAGACCCCTTGCCCGGCAGTCGCACTTGCGGCTACTCGGCCAACGAGGCAGTCGCAATGGCAATTCTCTATGTGAACCACAAATTGTTGTTTTCGGTTTAGCTGTCATGTATAAATGAACTTGTACATAATATGTTTGTAAAACGCAACCACGACAATGAGAAAATTCTAGTGTATGTACACCGTTTAAATTAAGGATAATGATGACGAACTATGTAAGTACCTAATCAGAAGTTAATGAGCGCTAGTTCTCATTTTCTTCTGATTACCTATTTACCTACTTAGCTAAGTAATTAAGGATTAAGTATACTTAGTTATGAATAATTAATTACCTCTACTAATCTGGATTCACGCTCTGTCTTGCAGCTCACAGCGCATGCATTCACATCGGCTGCACAGGTCACTGTAATTATAAAAAAGTACAATATTAAATGGCCAGTGGAAGTAAAACTACTATACTACCTAATTTGTTTTTATTTTTTTAAGGGGGGAAAATCATCGAATGACTGCTCCCGCCTGGGTGAGGCGGGAGGGAGTGTCAGACTCTTACTGACTAAAAACCACCCCGTTTCTTCTCCTGCACGTCGAGCCGGAGCCCCGGTTACCCGTTAGGTTCTCCGCGAC